GAAATTCTGTGTATTGCAAAGTTGTATTGAGAAAGAATAAACTAGTTTTATTTAAGAAAGGACTTGTATCGCTGAAGTTCTTCGGGAAGAAATTTTACGGCAAATTAACCAACGTACAGAGACGTAACAGAAAGCATGATATCAAATGCTACTATTGTTTGCAATTTCTTTGATGAGAAGCATTAAGTAGATAATAAAAGTGCCAATGATTGTAAAAGAATGATTTTTCAATTCCCAATGAGTGAAAAAAATGTGAGAAAGTTATATAACTTCGTCTAAATGTTGCTGCTAAGTGATAAACAACATGTAATTATATACGTAAGGTAGACAAAAAGTTCTCATAAAAACATACTTTTAGAAAATGTTGTGTGAACAATAAATTAAACACAAAGAGCAAAAAAGAAAAAAGAAAAAAAGAAGCTAACATAAATGAACAAATAAAACAAATTATTACTTAAAAAGTACTTGGGAACATGCTATCACTAAACACGGTAGGGCTTAGTATAAGCTAATAAAAATCATAATTCTAGTGTAAACGATGTTATCATTAACCCTTAAAGTTAGCTTTCTTAAAGAAATCTGATGTTTCTTTAAAATACTTAAGTACAGGGCGAAACAGGAATTACCAGCCAATAATAGGGCTATCTGTGCTCTGCCCACCACTGATATTGAAACCTGGTGTCTAGCAGTATAAGTTCGCTAACATGCCGCTGTGCCACTGGGGGGGGGGGACTAGATGACTGTAACACATAGAATACTCAGTGTTTTGTACACATAGAATGCAAACATGAATATAGGGTTGATACAGCTATACATTTTTCATATGCTCTTTCCTTATTGTAGGTTTCTCAACATTATGTCACAACAAGTCAAGATTATGACCAGTGATGTTTAATAATCTATTGTTGCCAACTGTATGGTATAATATCAATATCTGATATGATATTAACAATATATATTACCTTTGAATTATAAAATAAAACAAATATTCACTTGTCAACCTACTTCAATGAAATTGTTTAAAAAATTGGAAAATAAGTAATAAAAATGTTTTTGCAAAAATTAGTATGATTTAGGGATGGGAATGCCAGAAAAGTACAGAAACAAGATAGAGATGAATATACAAAAACTCTATAAAAATCACTAAATAAGCAGCTAAATCTTTCAAAGAATAACTTTTATCCTACAACTAAGAGTTGAATTCCTGTCAGTTGCATGAATTCAGGTTTGAATAAAAGCATTTAAATTAAATAGTGCTATAAAGTCTTACAGTGGCTAATAACCATAAGTTGTGAGGTTGATTCGGTACTTACTGGCTACTTATGTAGGGATTTTTTGTATGGGCTTTTATATTCATCCTTACTTTGTTTCTGTACTTTTTGGCATTACCATCCCTACATCATACATAATTTTTGCAAAAATATTTTTATTATTTGTTATATATATGGTGTTTTAAGTTGCCGTTTACTCTCCAAAGTGAAGTAATATTTATATAGCTTTTGAGGAATATATGGCATTGATGCTACTAAGTTATTTTTCTAGGTTATTTCGCGTACAAGCTGCTTTAGGTGTAGTTAAACTATTTCATTCATTAATATCTTTATAAGTCAGTTTTATCACTGAGAGTATCATCAGTGGAATCTCCTTTCTCAATTTTGTTTTCCCTAGAAGTATTAACCTCGTCAAAGAAATAATTTTTAGCGGGATCGTTTTCACACTGAGTCGTTTTAAATGGACGTTTCCTTTTTTGGGGCCGTGGCGTTGCCTTGTAGCGTGCTTGGGGTCCATGATTCGCGTCCCATTGTTGCAAAATCATGCTTTGTACTTTGGAGCCGTAGGTGCGTTATAAAAGTAACGGTTAAATGCCAATATTTGGTGAGACAACAATAGACCAAAAGCTGGTGGTAGGTGCTGTTGACCTTCTTCAAATACATTTACCATTTTTTCTGTCCCCCGCTGGGACAGCGGTAAATCTATTGATTTACAACGCCAAAAGCAGGGGGGTTCGATTCCCCTCGGTTGACACGGCAGATAGCCTGATGTGGCTTTGTTATAAGAAAATAACATACATACACACACATAATTTTTTCTTACTTTGCACACTTAAATTTTTGAGTGAAATACTTCATAAATACACCACAGTTTGGCATGATTATGAGAAGGCATTCGTTTGCTAGGACCAATGACAAATGACAAAGAAAAAAAGAGATGGGTCACTTCTATGCTTCTAGCATTGGTGAGCTTGAGCAATTTAAATCATTCGTGACTCAGCATATTCATGAATTGTTCACAATTGTTATTACTCATGCAAAATCATTATTTACTTAAAGACAACTCATAAGCGATGTGAATTACACTTACAAATTCACCAGTAAAAATTTTTAAAGCATGATTAATGACTAAGAACAATTAAGAAGTATATTTATCACTATCAAAAGTATCAAAAATCCCTCTAAAATTAACCTTTTCATATTAACTAATAAATTAGAAAGTATACAATGTCCTGCTTTCCTGTTAATTTAAGGTTTGAAACTATCACATATAAACTCATAGGAGCAGTGGTTAAACTGAGATTTTAAAAAAATGGATTTTTTTGTGATATACTTTCAGTTCTCATCAGAAGACAAGGAATGATAATGGCTTGAATCTCCAAGAGGCGAAACGCACTTTCGGACTGTTCCACCTCAATTTAATCCCCGAACAGGACAGCCTTCCAAGAGGAACGTTTTTTAAAAATTTAAACGAGTTAACAATTTTCATTCTGATTTTCTATTAATCTTCATAAATAACTCATTGTTACATTAACAGTAGAGTTAAGCACAGTTAGGCTTACTTTTCCTATTTACATATATTACAATTCTACCAGCTCTCGTGTGGCACAGTGTTATGTCTCACGGCTTAAAATGCTAGAATCCGGGTTTCGATAGCCGTGGTGGGCAGAGCACAGATAGCCCATTGTGTTCCTTTGTGCTTAACTTCAAACAAACAAAGAAAAAATTCTACAATTGAGATGTTACTGCTTAACAACAGTTTGCTCTTAATGAGCTGCTTTTAATATTATTCATAAGGTAGAATA